GAAGAGTGAACCTCACTCTGTGCACAAAGAGATGTTTGACCATCATCCAACAGTGGCCAGAATGGAATCCTTCCTTTTGCTCCCCAGGAAATCCCACAAACGCAGCTGAGATGGAACAGCCACGCACCATTCTATAATCTCATTTTGTGCCAGAGCTACTTAAGATACACCTGAAGTCTTGAGGTTTTGGCACTGGGTGATGCTTCAGCACCACAGGGAGCTCTAGAACAGGGCTCAGAATTCAGCAAGGCGAATTCACCAGCTATTTGTCTGGAGGGTTGGGAATATTCAGAGGGAAGACACACTCAAAGCCTCCACAGGAGTGTTTCCCATGATTGTGATTTTCCCTGGGCCATTCCCCCAAATTCAAGGTTGCATTTGAAGTTTATTTCTCCCAGGCTGTGATTGCTCATCCCTGGAACGTGGGTAACTGCACAGTCCTTCCGGTTCACTCAAGTTCTGAGCTTTAAGGATCAGAGTTTTAGTTACTGAAGTTAAAAATCTGCTTGACATGCTGCCTCATATGACTCTGCCTTAATATGTCACCATTGTTGCTCACCAACAAAACAAAGAAACCTTTTATTATGGATGTTTCTGCAAGCTCTTCAACCCAGACTGTGCTTTTCTCACAAAAACTCATGTAGGATTTTTTTTCCCCTAAAGATACAAGTTTGGTCTCTGCCAAATGTTATTGGCAACAACTAATTATCAACTAATGCACCAGTACCCTTCAGTTTCTGGAACTTGTTTAATTCACGAGGAGAGCACGAAAGAAAACAGAACAGGAAAGTTCTGCATCCTGAACAGTCTGTTAGCACAGGAGGGGGAAAAGCTGATATAAGGTGATGTTCCCAGCGTGCCTTTGATGTTGTGTGTCTGTAGCCAGGAGCTTCAAAGACACTGTTTTGGTTTCTATCTGGACATCAGGTCATAAGTCCAGCACTTCTGGCAGCTCCCACCAGCTTTTCCACTGAGGTTTTCCAAACACTGTATATCATGCACAACATTATGTTATGTATTATTCACTGGTACTGCCCAGGATCTGATGAAAGTGCCCAGAGCTGGGCACCAAACTGCAGGGCTGTGCACAGAAGTGACTGAGGTGCAGGAGACAGCGATGCAAAAGAAAACAAAAAGGTTGGAGGGGCTGGATTTGCAGCTTTTGAGAAAGAAAACTGGGGGACAAGACAAGAAGGGCACAGTGGTGTTCCAAAGGCCTGTGGGTTACCACACAGGGAACAGTGAGCCTGTGTGTCCTCAGGGACAACCACAACAGGCACTGGGTTAAGTCACAGCGAGAAAGGTGAAGAAGTTTTGTTGTCAGGCACTTGCAGAGGGAATCTCTGTCCATGGTGATTTTAAGAACAGCTCAGAAACACCGAATTGGGTATGATACAAAAATTTCATTATAGTGTTTCAGGACAGGACACTGGGCAAAGTGAGCTCTGGGCAGTGGGGAGGGTGTTGGGGCAGTGCCAGCACAGCCATCAGCAATCCCTGTGCTCTGGCTTCATGCCAGGGAAAAGTGTCCCAGTGTGAACAGTCTCATGTGACAGGGAGAGCAAAGCAAACACCTGCAGCAAAAGAAGGAAGAAGAATTGGGTGGGAGACCATTTTAGGTGTTACAGCAACACCCAACGTTGGGTGTTGATCAACAGTTGACCAACAGCATCTTCTCGCTGGTGACCAGGGACAGGACTCAAGGGAACAACTGGAGCTGTGTCAGGGCAGGGTTAGGTTGGATCTCAGGAAAAGGTTCTTCCCCCAGAGGTTCTTCTTCTTGCTGTTTGTTGGGTTCCCCCCTTGCTCGTGCTTAGCTTCCACCCCAGGTGTCTCCAAATAAACTCTGAGTAATTGCTGGGATAAGGAAAAGGTCCTTTCCCAATGAGCCTCCTCCAAATGGAAGAGGTTCCACGGCCATGACCTGGTGTAGCTCCTCTGCTGTTTCCCGGGGGTAGGGATGGACCTGTTGGGTCACAGACTCCACCAGGTTTCAGCTCTGACCAAGGAGTGCACTTTGTGCTCTTTATTCCTGCCGTTATCCTGGAGATGGGAACGTGCGGCAGAACCTGCCCTGGCTGCTCCCAGCCCAGCTCTCCTGCTGCTCTGAAGCTTTTACACTTAAACAGTGAGGAAATTGTGGAGGGGAAGAGGGAATAAATAACTTTTCTTTGCCCCCTAGCTGCCCTGTGCCTGCCACAGCCCAGCTCTCCGGAGGGAACCTCCAGCTCTGCTCCCTGGCTGTGAGGAATGCAGTGCTCTTATTTACCACCCATAAATGTCCACTGACTGACAGACAGTTCCTGCCATTAGCACAATGGCTTTGGAAAGCAC